AAAAAAAAAAAAGCATTTGATACTGAAACCCTCTTGCATTTCTAAATTTTACACAGGACAGGGTTCTCAAAATTACTCTGCATTATTCATATAAGAAATTTAATAATACCAGATGCTATGCTTGAATGGCTTAGGTCTGTATTTGCTCTGTATGCTAGGTGTATAGGAGTACACAAATCTTGCAATTGTTTTCAGAGAGTAGAGAACTGAAGAATTAAAATTTCTTAATAAGGAAGACACTTGAGTTTCTACTCACCAAAGTACTGGTATGTTTTACAGCCAGAATTGCCATGTTGATGCACATAGGTTGCTTTATTGATCCCAGATCACAACCTTGGTTATTGCTGTTTTTTTTGTCATATGCTTTCATCTATGAGAAATCTTTATCGTTGACCAAGTAATGCCCCAGTGAAGCTTTATAGTTGCTGAACTTGACAGCCAGTCCCAATTGCCAGTCAAGTGTTGGTTCTTTATTAATTTGTTCAGTTTTCCTACAATTATGGAACATGATGTTTAGTTTTTCATTATTTTTTTAAAACAAAATAATGATGTTTTGTTTCTTATTATTCTGTTCTTCTTTTCCATTTTTCTTTTCTCTGTGATCTTCAAGTTGGTTTTAAATACATTTTCTGAAGGGATAGCTTTCATTAAGTGCCATTGTGTTGCTGACTTGCTGGGAACTGACAAATTGAATGGATCAAACGTAACAAGAAAACCTTCATCCTTTGTTGCACTTGTCTCATGTATAACACTTGACTATATGTGTATGAAATATCATCCACCTTTCCTACATTGTTCTAAACAAATTCCTTATTGCATTTGAATTTTGACATGGAAGAGAAAGATCTCATTCATTACTGAAGAAGTTAGCATGTTGCCGTCAATTCATTTTCTTTTTCATAATATATATGCTTTTGCAGAACTTTGAAGTGTTGTCAGCAACTTTTATATGAGAAGTTGGAGGATGTAACCTGTTAATGACAGAAATTTCTGTAGTGCTCATAGTCTCTAAGCTCTGTTTAATTTATTTTCTTGCAGCAATACATGGCACACCTCCTTTCCCAAGGTCAACTTGATGGAAGCGGCTAGAAGGAGCTATGATCATGAGGGTGATCCGCTGCTTGAAGATGTGAACAAACAACTACTCATTGCAATGTACATGAAAATCAGATTCATGCAAGGCTTAGTGAAAGGAAAACCTGAAGTTATGTTTCTTTGGATTCCAAGTGATTTTTCCTCTTATACAAGAACTCATGCTGACACCTTCATTATCATATGACTATTTTACTACTATTTAATCTTTGATACTCTGAATTAGTCTTTTCTTTTCTTTTCTTTTAACATTGGAAATTTGGGAAAGGGTTGGAAGTTCGTTCAACTCTACTTAAAGTACTGTTTGGTATTATTGTCAACAAATAATAAATTACAAATATTATTTCTCTTTATTTTTTCTTTTTCTTTTTCTTTTTTTTATAATATCAAATTATTTCTCTTAGTTGCACTTTCTAGCATAGGGAAGGAAATAACAGAAGATTTTTTCGAAACCGATAGAAGCAAGAGCACAAAACTAACTTTTCAAATAGGCTCTCGTTCTCGTAACAAATAGAAAAAAAAGTACTGTATATTTTAAACTGTACAATTAAAACATTAGCTGAGAACAAACTTGCCTTCCAAAAGAGGAACTCCTCATAATACAAAAATGTCTACTTTTTATATTTCAAATTTATATGTGAAATACAATGTATAAGCAAAGTGTAGATTAAAAAAATTTATTTTATAGTTGAAATTATATTAAAATACAAAACAGAAACATGAGAGAACCCCAATATTAAAGGAGCCCATTCTCCACACTAGACTCCAGAACAGTTTGCAAGAGCTTTACCCGCAAGCCCGCCTTATGTCTCCACGGAACCACCTTCTGTATTGGACTGCAATACTCTCCTCTGCCTTACTAAAATTTGGGATTAACCTTTGTTTGGATTAAAAGAGTAAGAATCAACCCTCGTTTGGATTAAAGGAGTAAGAATTAGCCCTTACTGATGTTGTAACGTGCACAGTTTTGATGAATGCACTTTGCAAAGCAGGGAGGATGCAAGAAGCACGTTAATTGTTAGACTTGACGATTCAAAGAGGTCAACATCCTAAAACAATGACTTATAACTCATTCATCAATGTACTTTGCAAGGAAAAGAGGGTGCAAGAAGCAACTGAGTTGCTAGACTTGATGATTAAGAGAGGTGAGCATCCCAATACAGTTACCTACAACACGTTAATTAATGGACTTTGCAAACAAGGCAGAGTTGAAGAAGCAAATAGATATTTAGAGTTGATGATTCAGAGAGGTCCACATCCTAACATGGCGACTTATAACACATTGATTAACACACTTTGCAAAGGGCAGAGGATGCAAGAAGTAAGCAAACTGTTACTCTTAATAATTAAGAGAGGTGAGCATCCCAAAACAATTACATACAACACATTGATTGATTCCCTTTGTAAACAAGGCAAAATAGAAGAAGCAAATAGATATTTAGAGTTGATGATTCAGAGATATCATCATCTAGAAAGAGTGACTTATACTACATTAATGGCTACTCTTTGCAAAGAAAGGAGAATGGAAGAAGGAAATGCACTCTTTGAGGTGATGACGCAAAGGGGACAACTTCCTAATTTGGCTACTTATAATATCTGATCGAATGGCTGTGTAAAGTTGAGCAGATGAAGAAGACAAATGATTTGTTAAGAGAAATGGAGAAGAAAGGTTTCAATCCAGATGTTTTGATCTTTGATACACTCATTTTTTGTTTCTCAAAAAGTAATGAGACCTCCAAAGTCGTGGAACTTCTTTGGAAAATGACAGAAAAATGTACCACCTTATGCATCCATCTTTTGCATTGTCTTAGGTTTACTTGCAAACTTGAAGGATGAAACACGTCAAGAACTTCTTAACAAGCTTCCCTTATTTCCCTCCAAAGAGCCATCTGATAAATGACACGGTGAAAGCAAGCAGGCTCTGAATTTGCATAAATCAGTCCTGGTGATGAGTGGTCATATTAGTTTGCAGTGGCCGTAAGATTGAAGTTACAAGCTTTCATGACAACCAGGTACGGTAATCTCAATTGCTTCTGTTCATTAATTCTAAAGAAAGTATTATTGTTTAAATTACTCGAGCTTTTTTGTCATTAGTATCATTCAGCTTTCAGTGCGCTTATGTCATGTATAACAACATGACTGCATGTTTATCAAATATCAACTGCAAGAGATCCTGATGCATTACTGAAGAACTAGATATTACCTGTTTATTTTTTCTATTCTATTCTTTTCTTTTCTTTAGTTTATATGCATTTGCAGTAGTTTAAAGAGTTGCTACTATATGATAAGTTGGAAGGTTTAACCAGTCGACCTAGATTTCTGTTGCTCTTGCAATCTCTAATTAATTTATTTGCTTGCAGCAGCAATATATGGCACACCATTCCCAAGTCAAGTTGGGGGATCCACTCATCCACAGGAAAAAGATGTGAATGGATAGTAGTCCTTGGCAATACATTCCAGTTCAAATCCATGCTTGTATGAATCAAGAAAACCTAAATTTATATTGCTGATGATGTGAAGTGATTTTCTGTTTGATAGAAGAACTCATGCTGACACTTTCACAACAATATGGATCCATTATACTATGTTATCTTGAACATTCTGAATGATATTTGTGCTAATTCATGGAGGCCATAAATTTGGGTTTGATTTTCAGGTCTTGCATGGCTTAGTTATTCTGGTAAGTGGGATGTAGTTATTTCACTGGGGTGAACGGACAGCATAGAATATCAATCCACGCTGTGCTATACCTCAACTAATCCATATACATTATTTTTGTTTGCTTGTTTCTATACCTACTAATTTTTTACCCAACCTACTAACCAGTCGATTACCCACCCGTTTAAAATGGGTTAAGATCAGATATTTTTGACCCGTGACCCGTTAATGACCCATTAAAACAACTCGATGGGTGGGTCAATAATAGGTTAACTCATTGAGTTAAAGGATTTGACTTGTTTATCTATTTAAAATTTTAAATTTTTTAATTTATTATTTATTTATTTTGCTTTCCAATTTCCAATCCCACCTAAACCTCTAATATTGACTAATTTTCCCTAATTAGCTAATTGATTCTCTTAACTCATCATCTTCTAGAAGCAAAAATAATCCCACTCGACTCATGACTCACCTTTCGACCTTTCCTACTCTTGTTTACTTTAATACTTTCTAAGACTCTAACTCTTCAAAATTCTAACTCTTCAAAATTCTAACTCTTCTCATATTCTTCCACCTTCATAGTCCATATAGCTATCGATTTTCAAGTTTTGACTCCACCTTTTCTCTTTAGTCTTTAACATCATCTCGGACTCAAATCTAAGTCATCGTCGTGTTGACTCAACCCTTTCTCTCTCTTTCCTTCGAGTCCAACAAGTGCTCTCTTTGTCACCAACTTTTCTCTCTAAAGCCTTCAAGGTAAATTGTTTACTTATTTAAACTTTTTAGTTTTCTTTCTATTTCGAGTAAGAATTCTACTTGATCTTCTCTTTTACTTAGATGCATTCAATTGATTAATTCTTTGAAAGTAATGACCAAAATAAATATGTTCCAATAGGGTTTGCGTTTTTTGGTGGTCATACTATTTCTCTTTTTTTTTTTTTTGCTATCAAGATTTATAAGTGTGTGGTGTTCTCAAATTTGATGAGTGTTATTCTTTTAAATAATTTGAATGATAATAAATACAAATTATAAAAAAAAAAATTCAATTGAATCATCCCACGGATGGACACGTGACCCATGATAAACAAGTTAGGATCGGTTTTCATTGATTCACAACCCGTTTTAACACAATCCTTTTTGACTTGTGATCCGTTCTGAGCTAATCAGCCCGTTTGCAAGGTTTACTTGTTTCCCATATAAAACTAAGGCTTGCGCTCTTCCCGCATCCCTTGGTAAGAAG